TTGTTTTGGTTTAAAGGTGCCTCCAAGAGTTCAGAGTTAAAACTATTGACGGAGAAACCAGAAAAATCTCTGCGCTTTTGCTTTTCGACTTCAGCTTCTTAAAGAAAGTGTGAGACACAAAACTGTGAAAAATGGTCGCTGATATCAGAGACAATATTGCCACTGGTGATATTAGCATCAACTTTGTTAGACAAATATTGTCGATTAAGGTGACAGAGCTGTTATGCACACGTGTTGGTTTATCAATAGTTGGCATAAATGAAAAGCTTTGCAGAGAAAGCAAAGATTCCTGAGCATAACAGGAGCTTTCAGCGTGAAGGAGGTTCATGCTGAAGTCGCCCATAATAGCTGAGGTCACACTACAGACTTTTTACCTAGGTAAACACGACTTGTTGACAGTTTACCTAGGGAAACTTGATTTTTTAAGTGTGACCGACTTTTCCCTAGGTAACTTACCTCGGGGAAACTTTATCGTCTGGGTCTTGGATATGTCTCCAAAACAATAGAGTTTCCCTTAACAGCTACCCCAAAGCAATAGCTAGGGAAAAATGAAATACCGAGGTTGCTAGCCAATAGACGCTCATCGGCGAAGGTCTTGATGACAGAGCCGGACACAGATCACGCTGTGAAAGAAATTTTGGGAGCACGAGTCGTCTACGTCTTCGCCTTTCTTCACCTTGCACGTTGAATTAGCGTAAGAAATAACAGCGAGATAAAAGAAAAAAACGTCTCTTTGATCAGCTAGATCTCTGCGCATTTTGACTTCTTGAATTTACGCTCCAAAAAATTCAACTGGCGTGAAAACTTTGGGAGCCGATATCAGTAGTGTGACCTTCCCAGAATTTTTACCTAGGTAAAACAAAACCCGCGATGAATTTGCCCTAGGTAAATCGGTTTTACCCAGGTAAAAGTCTGTAGTGTGACCTGTAAACTGTCCTTTTTTTTGAAGCTATTAGTTTCTCAAGAGTTTCGTCAAAATATTCTTGGAACCGTTGCGGAGAATTATGCTGTCTAAGTACAATACCACAAATGATGTTACATTTTTGTGAGGAATGGATTTCAATCCATAGCGCCTGGAAATCCTCATTTGATGTTTTTTCAATAACTGTATACTTCAGAGATTCATTAATGTACAAACAAACACCTCCAGAGGTGAGAGGTGTCGGAGCGTATTCAAAAATATATCCAGGTATGTTTGGATTAAAATCCAAGTATTTTCCACTGATTCTTTTGATTTCGAAAACTCCTATAATACTGAAATCAAAGTTCAATTCATCTAATAAATGGACCTGAAAGTTTTCGAGGTTTCGCCTGAGGCTCCTCACATTATTATGTACAACAGAGAAACATGAATCACTAGCGCGTCTAGTATCGGGGTAAAATAGTTCAGAAATTAGATGGCAAAAACGTCTAAAGGGTCAGTAAAGACAGAGCTCAAAACTTCGCGTCCATCTTGTCTCCTGACCGCTGACCTATATGACAACAAAACAAAGCTTAACAAATGAAGCTTAGGCAAATGAAAGGGTAATTATTTTGAGTGTTTGGAATTCTCTTTCCATGACAGCAGTTATTACACTGCCTTCAGTTTGACTCCTCATTCAAGCGGCTTATGTTGCAAACAAAGAAGGAAAAATTATAAATTACAAAAACTGCACTACCCCTTGGAACAAGATTACGGTTTAAAAAGGATAAGCTATTTTCAGAAAATAAACGTTCAAGTTTGCTTGTTTTGACAAGGAACACATCTGGCTAAATATGCTTCAAAGGGAATTTATGTAATCAGGAAAATGGTGACATTTCTATTTTTGCCTTTCCTTTGGCCACTGTGAGTTTTTGCCATACAGTTGCATGTAATTTTTTACACGTTTGGACATCAACCTGCCAGGTTAGTTTGTGTCTGTATAAAAATGTAGTTAATGAAATAAAACCCTCTCAACTTAAAAATTGCCTTGTGCTAGTGGATTTGATAAACACCATAGGATGGCTCGGAAAAAAATGTGATATGATTGTTAAGATAATATTATTAATTTTAGTCAACAATAAGAGTTAGAAACTTTTGTTGAAGCAGGCAAAAACATTTTTCAGAGACCATAAACCTTCACTGACTTTGTTGTTACGATAAGTGGCAAAAGGGTATTAAAATGTGAGATCACCTCCCTGGGCTTGCACTGCAAGAGAGTATGGGTAGTAGGACACATTGTTCATTTCCCTACCCTTTTTAAGTCAAGAGACCTTACTTTATAATCCTCATTCATTTCAATTAGCATACAGAATTAAGTTAGCTTTTAAACCTGCAAACATGGAAAAAACTTGGGGAAAAAAATAGTGGTACCAAAAATGTAACTTTTGACTGCTCTTCATCAACCTCCACAGCCCAAACAGACACCCTGTTAAAAACTCTCAAGGGTGAAATGGTCACCACTCTAAATGAGCACACCGTAATGTTTAGGGAGTTATCATAAGTCCAAAAATGGAGTAAAAATTTTAGGTACAGGATAACCCCTTTTTGGGGGTTATTTTAACTCCTAATTTAACTTCGAATTTGGGGTCATTTTAACTCCTGAAAAAGAGTTGTTTTTACTCCCAGTCCGGAGTTAAAATAACTCCGAAATGGGGTTACTTTTACTCCTTACATGGGTTGTTTTTACTCTTTTTGGAGTTAATTTAACTTTGAAAGTGGAGTAAAAATTTTAGATACAGGATAACTGCTTTTTTGGGTTTATTTTAACCCCTATATATCTGAGGTCACTTTTACTCCTGAAAAAGAGTGTTTTAAACTCCTTTTTGGAGTTAAATTAACTCCCCCAAAAATAACTCCACTGTAAGGAGTTAAATTAGCCCCACCACAGGAGTTATTATAACTCCTTGAAAATTACTGTGCAGCACATTAGTACCCATCTGGGCCAAATAAGCCAGGGGTAGTATCGTACAAAGAACTGCTGGGGGGATTGGGCAAAGAGACAGGTTGATAAAAAAATCAATTTTAATTTATCTTGTTTATTTTAGTTGTAAATCAGATTTATAACTTACACAAACAATTGAAGTTGTACATTTTTCAAGCTTCCTCAGATTCTTTATCAATTTGCAAAACATTCAATTTTCTTTTTTCTGTTCCTTGTACCTCAGTCCTTTGAGGGATTTTCGCGGGGATTTTCTCAACACATACCTCTCTCTGATGTACTCAGTCTTATTAGCAACTGGATTAGCCCTTTGTCCCCACACTAACCATTATCATCATTTCAAGTATAATTCAGAACTATAGGGTTATTTTTGTAAAAGCAAATTCAAGGAAATACTTGAAACCGAAGTCACTATCTAATATAAAACTACTAAATACGGTATTGCTGTTGGAAGTTTATTGATCATCTGTCTAATGATATTCCTGTTCAAAGGTTTGAAGGTTTAGTAAACCCCTCTCAGCCCTCTGATATTAAAAAATAGCTTATACTGACAGATCCAGTATGGAACATCTACTCTGGCTTTTACAAAATTGGCCCTGTATTCTGATTTACGCCTATAAAATTAATATTTGGCTCTCGGTGTACAAACAAACTTTCGAACTGCGAAGTAGAAAACTGGTTTAATGAACATTCATATATGACTGTTGTAAGACTCATACTAATATAGTGAGCTCGTAGTATATGTTTAGGATAAGGAAGAGAGTCTTAATACCACTGTAAGTGGAAAAATATAAGCGATAGAGCAGGCTGGTCGCTCGAAAATTCACGAAGCTTAAAAGTAACTGAACTTGCCGAGATGTTGAATCACGATAAGTGAAGTCACCCATGAACTGTTGAAACATCACGTCACCTGATGTCCAAAAATTTCATTAAAGAAGTTCATGAAAACCTTTTCTTGAAGTTTGGACGCGGGAAAACGTAAAACCGAGCAAAAACTCATCGTCCTTTCATGTCTTTATTCTTCGCCATATTTGTTTTGAAGGAAAATTGGTACTCAGTCTCACTCGGCCAAATTTTTTAACTGGGGCGATCATGTAAACTCTGTTCCAGACCTCGCTGCCAGCCCCCCCCCCCCCCCCCCCCCCCCAGCAGGGCCGCACAAGAGAAAAAAAAAAATATAAGAATAAATGCAGGTCGCTTCTGGTCTTTTTCCTCAACCCAGTAGTCTTGTGCAGGCCGCAAAACTCACGCTTACATCGGCCACGATTTTTAACCTGCCGTAGCCTTGCCGCCTGGTTCGATCCCCCCTTGACGCCCCCCCCCCCCCCCCCGATTGCTGGCCTCCTAGTTTAGATCCTATTTATTCGAAACGAACATCTTTATTTCGGATCTCATCACAATATTAGTGGGAGACATCTGTTACAATGCCAGGAAAATTAATTCTTTTACCCGTAAGGGAAATTTATCAAGTCAGGGAATTTCAGTATAAGTCAGGGAAAATTGGACTCTTTCAAAGAAGTCAGAAGGAGATTATATATTTCTGCATATTCACCGAAGTTAAACATATTCCATCAGCAGGAAATTGTTTCCAGATATTAAACGACAAGCAGATATAGGGTTTCCTATAAGATCAATCCATTCTGCGCTTTACAGTTACAAAAAATTCATGTGATGAATTGGTGGCAAGAATGGTTGTGATGGGAGTTTGGGCATCTATTTTGTGTACCAGACACAGATGACGTGAAACAAAAGAACACCAGCCTTTATACAATACCAAGCAAATTTTCCCTGAACAGAAAACAAAGAAGTCTTTTGCTTTACGTCATCTGTGTCCAGTGCACGAAGTTTTGAGTGGAATTTGGAACCATTAATACCTGGACAAATTGTCAATTCATTTGGGCTGGGTTTGCCATCCTTTGGGCCGTTATAACTTCCAGTCTTTCTTTCTTTTCGTTATAGTTTGCGAACCTTTGCTTTCATGACTAGGAAAAATGTCCTAGTCCCAAGCCTGACGCAGTTACTACGAATGAATTGCAGTGGATAGACATCGATGGATCTGTTATTTGGGGAGCCCAGGGGATGGCAAAGAATGCCCATATCCCTGTTGAGGATATCGCCCTAAAGTTACAGGGAAAGTCATTAGCACATATGTCACGTCTTGTTTTCGTGATCCAAACCACTTTCGGGCAGGGGAACTTCATCACCATACACCAAAATATACTAGTCTTGTAAAATAGCAGAGGCTTCGTTCGTGGAACATTCCTCTCTTCCTAACACCAACCCTAACCTCGTCAAAGAAACTTTGCTTCGCGATTGCTTGGATCTATTAAATCTGCAGAGGCTCAGCGGTAAACGCATATCCATGAGTCTGGCAGTTCCGGGCGCGAAGCTTTATGTTAACGAAATTAACCTAGCTGTTTCTAGGGCCACTTGCTCTTTGCGACCGGTGAAAATGTCTGCAGCTCTGAAGAAAGAAATTGAGACGGCTTTTTTCCCTGGCGGTCTGAAAAGCCCACACATGTTCTCTGACTCATCTCACTTTGTTTGGGGAGGTTCTCCAAGCCCAAATGCTACCAGGCGTATCTCATCGATGATCAATGACATCAATGAGTAATCGATGGGCAATCAATGAGTAATCGGCTGATTAGTCATTGATTATTGCCGATGATCAATGAATAATCGATGACTAATGGAAGACATTATATTTTGTGGCCTACGTATTGATTACTCATCGACGTCACTGATTATGCATTGATGTATTGATTACCTATTCAATTGATTACTCATTGATTACCTATTGATTACTCATCTATTACGAATTTCTTGCCAGCTTCTGCTAGTAATATGAAGAAATACCCTGTAAATGAAGTAATAAAGCAGGCGAGAATGACTCGAGAATGACTCGTCTAAGAAGAATCATAAGCTAATCCCCTTTTAGACATATGCAAACAAAGCGGTGCTCTCAACAGTACATTTAATTTTTGATTGTACGTTTTCATTAATTTCGTAATGATAACAAACAGCTTAACGATAACAACATTGCTATAAAGATGCTTAGCATTATGCGTATCAAGAAGCTAATTGGCGTGATATTTCCTGCGGTAACTGTTTATTTACAAAGACAAACTGCTTGAACTTTGGAATACTTCTTTCGTAAGCAGCTGCAGTGCATGGCAGCGTTGCAACTGGCACTCTCACTCTCATGCAGCTAGGCCTACCAGAGTTATGGTGAGTGGCATTACAAAGATGGACAAGTTCCGATTTTTTGGCCTTTGAACTGAAGGCACTTCCTTAACAAGCTACCAATCGCGCAGTTTGCGTAACACGTGCTTTAAAGGTCTCAGGGAAGAGCTTCCGAGATCCTTATTAAGCCGTAAGCATATGAAAAATTGTCTGAAGAGGGCAGAGAGCCGTACAAGAAAATAAAGAAGTGGCTGAAAGATCCAATAGCGGATATCAGAGGGAAGATGCAAGGTACGAACATTTTTATCACTTTGCAAGAACTATTTATAAATAGTAGTGCAAGTGAATTTCCGGATATTCCAGTTCTCAATGTCTTTCTCATCCTGTGCGTTTACATGGCATAAGCAATAAGAAAGTTGCAACAGATTTCATTTTCAGATATTTCTTTTCTAGTTTTAATTATTTTGATCTATTCGCTTAATATCTTGATAAACAGGGAAGAGGAAAAGAGCTCAAAGGGGCGGCTCAAGCTGGAGAACAAATTCTCCGATCTACAAAGAATGGCCCTTCAGGCCTTGTACAAAGAGTCCAAGTACACCTCACAAGGGGGACTTGAAGAATTCTCCGATCTTAACCAGCTGAGTACAAGCGTAGTCAAGGTCTGGTTTAACAACAGGCGCCAGAGAGAAGATTCAGTCACTTTGACCGTAGCAGTTACTACCAATGATGATGTTGTAGTTTAAACAAATAAAATCTGAAAAAGTCATTCATGTTACGTTCAACGTGTTTTCCTTTTTTCTTATTCCCTCATGGAAATGTCATTTGCAGCCATGCGATGATATTGGTGAGTAATCAATGCAATCACTGAGTAATTAATGACTGAAAATTTTGTGGCCTATCAAACACGGCTGAATAACGTACTGCGCATGTCTGTGACATCACTTCTTTACCAAGCGTAGCCGCACGGGGGATTTACCAAAAATCATCTGAAAAACTCACGAAGGAGAAATTCTGCGAATACGTTAGAAGTAGAAGTCTTGTTAAGGAATTTTAAGTAAACCAAGGAAAACGCGTTTTGACCCTCTCGGCGAGGTTTTTCATTGTTTTGATCGTAAGTTTTATCAGAAAGATGACTGAGAGAAAAAGAGCACTGCAGGAGTTTTGGCGACTTTTCCTCAATGGTAACTAAACGATTTACTTTAATATTATATTACCTTATTACGTTTGAAGAAGAGCAAATCTTTGTAATATAGCCGAGCAATGACTCTTGTGGGTCGTTTCTTGGTGGCACGAAAGCGGGCAATGAGCACAATGATGCCATCAGACACAAGAATTTATGCTCAGTTATGGAGCTTTTAAACATACACAAATTTTAGTGCGATCAAAGAAACCTTTTCTTGCACTAAGCTTCAGCACTAGACTGCAAAACAGTCGGATTTTTTCTCAAAATCAGCAAAGAAATCGGTAAAGCGTGGCTGGCGTAAGAGTCTTACGCGCGCGAAGCGCGCGAGCCTCGCACGCCCTACGGGCGTGTGAGGCGAGAGAAAAAAACCGACTGTCCGTTTTCCATACAATGAGTTCGTTCCGACCAGGGGGTTCAAAAATGTCGTCGAGCTGCCAAAAATCTGTTCGCAACTCCGCCCTCCTTGTGAATTTGATAGACTGGCGTGTTATTATTGACGCTGTAATCCAGTAATTCTAAAGCAGTTTTTAGCGTTGCTTCCCTGTGAAATGTAGTGAGCTCCGATTTTAGTGCGCGCAGGAGGAGGTCTAATCTCCACAGCAACCACCACAAATCGGTTTCCAATAACAGACAAGGTAATTAGTTTTAAGCATTCCTCCAGACACCTTTGGAGAGCGCCGGACACATTGCCTGTCAAGGAACTTTGTACTTCTGATTAAACGAACCAGACATCTCAAGGAAACGCGAAATTTGATCAGACTATTTGGGTGTTATAAATTCTTTTCACGGTCGATTGAAAATTTGGAAGTCGATCTTCGCGCCTCTGGCCTCGCAATTGATAACTACAGTTTTCTCACCGCATTTGGATTCTAATAGGCTTGATACGCTTTCAATGGTTTTTCAAGTGCTTTCTTTTAAGAAAATAGTGCTCCGGTGGCTTATTTAACTTCTGTCAAGAGCAGTAAGCCGTGTCAACATTGGTGACCTTCGAAGTGAAAACAGCGAGTAGGCGTATCAAGTTTTTACTGTGGAGCCACAAGTAGGAATACACTCTCTGCTGGCACATCTTTCTCCGGTTTGGAAGGAACTCGG